CAGATATCAGTGGGTCTCTATCAGTGCTCAGTGACTGCAGATACAGTGGGTCTCTATCAAAGCTCAGTGACTGCAGATATCAGTGGGTCTCTATCGGTGCTCAGTGACTGCAGATACAGTGGGTCTCTATCAATGCTCAGTGACTGCAGATGTCAGTGGGTCTCTATCAGTGCTCAGTGACTGCAGATATCAGTGGGTCTCTGTCCCTCTGCTTTACAGCTCAGTGCCAGGAGTGCCTGAAAGTGGGACCCTGCAGGTGCTGGAGTGGTTCTGAGTTGTTTGTAATTGTGACTCTTTGGCATAAAGTTTTATGGCTTCGTGTAGGAGATGGATCAGAGTCAGAGTTTAAGAGCCGGTTCTCACCCTGGAAGCAGTGTGGGGAGCCCATTTTCCTGCTGTCTCCCAGAATGTCAACGCTACTATAAGCTCTGGGCTTACGCCAGTCCTGCCACTGGCAAAGTTGCTCCTTGAACTTGGCCTTTCTAACTTTGTGCTACCTCCTTCAGTATAAAAAATGTTTCTCTGCAGGAGCCAGTGTGCACATTCCACGCAGTGACAGCCTGCTCTTACTGTTGGCACTGCACTCTGGTGTTTTATTCTTTTCTCTTAAGCTTTTGCTTTTAACTTAGTGGTTAAGACCAACAAGTGGGTTGTGATTTGTAGTTTAAAAACCTATCTGCAGGAGCTGGAGCCTGATGGAGGGTGTGGCTGGGATGAGGAAGGCAGTCTTGTCCAGCACTCTCAGTGTCTTGGGCAGCATACCCAAAAGTACATTCTGCCATTGCATTAAAGTTTCTATGACCAGAAAAATTGGAGAGCTGTAAGAGAATCCCATTAAAACAGGCTCATCTCCTGAAGGACTCCTCGGAGCATTTATGACTAGCAGTGGTTAGCGAGCTAGTTACATCAGATCACCTGGGAAGCATTTAGAAATGGTCTGTTTTGCCTGAGCCTCTGGGGTGGGGTCAGGAACATGCCTTGGGAAGGAGACGCGGGTGATCCCGACAGGTGGCCAGGGTCACATGTGTGCCCTGCAGCTTCAGGACAGAGCATGTGTGGCTTTTTCCTTTTACCCGCTTGACTTGGGAAGCCCTCTTTTGGAGAACATCTCTTGAAACTGGTGATATCTGGAATGCATCTTGGGTAGTGTTCTTATACAAGGGGTTCCATTGCTTATTAGAAAGAGGAGAGAGATGTATGATTATCCTAAAATTAGCAAAAACTGGGTTTTCTATAAAATTTTATAGCAGGGTTTGGCAGTTTTGACCTAATGTTAATATGGTGATGAAGGGTTTGTTATAATCTAATAAGCAAAATAAACTTTATGAATTATTTTATCATTCTATTATCACCATAATTCTGTATCTCTGTGGCTACAGATCTTACACTTGAAGTCCAAATATTTGCCGTTATTATTGGCTGACATTAATACTGGACAAACTCATTTCTCTCTCTCAAGATAATGTGAAAGTTAATTTATCTCTGGGAACACAAAACACTTAATTGCACAGGTGATGTTGCCAGTGTGGCGGGCAGGAGACCAATAGTTATAGATGCACAAACCAGCTTCACGAACACGTTTCCTGGTGCTAAACTATTCAGTTCATCAGCAATGTGTGTAACTGCTTGAGTTTCCTGCTCCTCCTACGTGGACAGCTGTGAATGCCTCGGGGTGGCCCCACTTGCTTTTTGGTCTGTGGTATACACTCAGGATGAATTGGCTCCATGGGTGAAGGTGGATAACACTGCACCCTTAGATAAGTGTTCTGCTGTTGTTCCACGAGAACTGTGAGAGAGTCAGAAATAGCACCTGTACAGTATCAGCAAATGTTCCTCTGTGGGCGTGGGTGGAGATGGGAACATGTTTCCTTAAGTTGTATTACCAAAATGATCTCTCTGTAAATATATTGGTTCTGACTTATAGGTAAAGCTGAGTTGTGGCATCAGTTTAAAGTACTGGGCCCCAAATTCTGTTCAGTCTGGAGGAGTATAGGGTTTAAAAATAAAATTAAGACCAGGTATGGTAGCTCACGCCTATAATCCTAGAACTCTGGGAGGTCAACCCAGGAAGATCTCCTGAGCTGAGTGGGAGACCAGCCTGAGCAACAGTGAGACCCTGTCTCTACTAAAAATAAAAAAACTAGCCAGGTGGTGTTGTGGGTGCTTGTAGTCTCAGCTACATGGGAGACTGAGGCTGGAGGATCGCTTGAGCCTAAGAGTTTGAGGTTGCTGTGAGCCAGAGCGAAGCCATGGTACTCTACCGAGGGCACAAAGAGAGATTCTATCTCAGAAAAAAATAATAATAAAAATAAGGCTTCTCCCATTTTGCTTACAGTTAGTGATACAACTTGAAAAGTAGCAGTTTTCTATAATTGTCTCTTGTGTTAGTTCACTAAGTCTGTCTTCTGGAATGGAGGCTGGAGGGGGATGAGTGAGGACTGGCAGGGCTTCCTGAGCTCGGATTCCTGCCTCAGGCTTCACTGGCTTTCCTCCACTTCGTTCTCATGTCCCCAGAGGGTAAGTGCTATTGTAGGGTGACCAGATTCTAACATTGGTAAAGCGGGACAGCATGGTGGGGTGTGTGTGTGTGTGTGTGTGTGTGCGCGCGGGGCAGGGGACGGGCAGGGCAGGGCCTGACAACAATGCAAGCTTTAATAAGCAGTTCTCGATAATCACTTCTCAACAATTATTTGTTATGATTACAGTTTAACATTATAAAATTAATAAAAATAATATAAAACTCATTCTGGTGGAATAGCCACATGGCAGCCAAAAAACGTATATTCCCTTCCTGTTCTCCCGCCCGTTCGTGCATTCTTTCCAAAAATTGGGACTTTTTAAAAACACCGTGGGACAAATTGTTAAAAAGCAGGACATCTGGTCACCCTATGCTATTGTGTGTCCGCTGGGGGCTCAGGGAGGTTTGCGCCTTCCCCCATCAGTTGTTTGGTGTGGCCAGAGGTCAACCCTGGATCTGTGTGACTCCTCATCTGCCTCTTCATCTCTCTCCCGCCACCTCCCTCTTCGGAAATTCTAAATCTCTTTGGCCCAGGTTTTCCTTGTGTAAATATGTGTGAGACACAACATGGCTTGTCAGAGATGTTTCATTGCCTGGTTTCTTGTTCAGGATGCACTTGTCTTTGTGATCACAGCATAACTTAAACTAAGCACTGTCATTTTATTTGTGCTTTAATATGGCGAGCAACGGCCTTTTAGAAGACAGTAAGAGTTATATGAACTGAAATTTCTTATTGTACGATTTCATGACTCTGCCCTTGGTTGTGGATTTTGAATAGTCTGCAGGAGACGTACGAAGCAAAACGGAATGAGTTCCTAGGAGAGCTGCAGAAGAAGGAAGAGGAAATGAGGCAGATGTTCGTTATGAGAGTAAAGGAGAAAGAAGCTGAACTCAAAGAGGCAGAGAAAGAAGTAAGTCCTGTGTTCACCCTCGGGAAGACACAGAGAGAGGGGTTTTATTTTAGAACTTCATAAGGTCCAGGTACTCTACGTACAGTTTATCACAAGTGACGTGCCACCCCCCACAAGAAAAATGAATCAGTCAGCATGTCGCCCGCAGCTCCTTCACTGGCTCCACACTGCCTGCCCAGGGGCCCTTTGACCCCACCTCTGGCCCAGTGCTCAGGGCAGAGGAACTGCTCCCTAGAAGTTTGTGGGCATTTCTAGGATGGCACTCACCCGTTGTTTCTGAGTGTAGGGGGGCGTGCGTGTGCTCACGCATGTGACTCGTCCACTTCTGGTGACGAGTATCTCGCGAGTTTGACCTGAAGCTCAATACATTTCTAACTGAAATTAGGTAATTTTCTCATTTTGTTTTATCTTCATAAAAACTGCCGTAACTTAGAGGCTATTTAGATAGCCAAGCACCCAGGGTGGTTTTATAGTAGAGAAAGGAAAGATGAGGCTTATTTGCTGTGGCTGTAAGAATCAAGTAAAAATCTGATAAAAAAATCTAGAATTGCCTAGTAAGAATTTTTGCCTTTCTCCCTTGCTCCCTTTTTAACTTCAGTTTGTTAAGGGCCAGAAATTTATCAACATATCTTATTTAAATAGTTACTGCACACATGTATGTATATGCATACGTGTATTAGCTTTTTAAATAAGTCTGTATCTCTGTGTGTACATATACACATACACACACACAGATACGTATCTGTAGTCATTGGGTATCTGTAGCCTCTAAGTAAATGTATATTATATGTTTTGAAAAAGGCCCAGAGAAGAGATAAAGAACCACTTTTATATATATAGTGAAATGTTTTTGTTAAGATCATAGGTAATATTTATCTTCTTCATTCTGCTTTGTAAATGAATATTTATCTTACTATCAGAAAACGTGTTCAAGGAATTTCTATCCTAAGGAGTTCCAGTGTCCAGGGAGCCCAGGACTCTGAGGGATGCTCAGACCTAGCTGAGCTCCTCCAGGAGTCACCAAAATGTGCCTTCACACCTGGAATTAAAGTGAACACAGCCACATGACGTGTATTTTTTTTTTTTTTTTTTTGGTGACAGATCCAAAGAATCTTGCATAGGTGAGATAGTCATTCATTCTCCTCACCACCCTGTCCTTCCCGTTCTCTCTCCAGCTTCATGAGAAGTTTGACCTCCTGAAGCGGACGCACCAAGAAGAGAAGAAGAAGGTGGAGGACAAGAAGAAGGAGCTCGAGGAGGAGGTGAACAACTTCCAGAAGAAGAAGGCAGCCGCCCAGTTGCTCCAGTCCCAGGCCCAGCAATCTGGGGCGCAGCAAACCAAGAAAGACAAGGATAAGAAAAAGTAAGCCGGTGTCCCCGTTGGGGCCTCTCACCATCCACCCTCTTGCATGTCTCTCCTTTTTCCATTTACAGACTGGAAACTGGTCTGTTACCAGAAAGATAAAGGCAACTATTTTCTCTACAGTGCAGGGAAGATGATGAAGGTTTTTAAAGTATTTTTAAAGGGTACACAAAGATTAATTTATGAAACTCGACCGCAGTGATCGAGCGATCAGGGCCATGTCGCCTGCTGTCTGTAGTGGCGTCTTCCGCACCAGTGCAGGATTCTTGGAGAAGACAGGTTTGGTTCTCTTCAGAAACCTCCAGAGACAGTTCTCATGACTCTTGTGATAAAGAGCACCCTAAGATTATGATTGTTAAAATGATTTTCCTATTCTGTGTTGTACGGCCTGGTGGGCCAGTCACTGAGAGTCCTGTTCCCAAGATGAGCTATGTGGAGGAGCTACTAGTGGCCACTGATTTCCTCTAAATTCAACAAGATGATGATCATTTTATTGTAAAATGAAATCAAAACATCTATCTTGTCAAGACACCCCTGCCAACCCTCAAAGCACAACTAAACTCACGTACAAGACATTTTAAAATAGGACCTTGATTGAATGTGCCCACGGGGCAGATCCTGTTCTCAAGTTGGTCACTTCATACACACTACTTGAGTAGCAGCTCCCTGAATCCAGGGGGGGAGTTGGGCCGTCTCTGAAATTCTCCCGTGAGTTGCTGCTCTCCTGTGAATCACCGTAAGGGTTGGGGAGAGCGGCCTCATGACAGTTGCCGGTGGCCTGACTGTAAGCACAGTGCTCAGGCTGCCTTTGAGGAGAACCTCTGTGGTGGCCCCGTAGCAATCCACTGACACAGCCGCCTTTGTCTATGCGTGGGGCTCACGGGGCAGCTACAGAGCATTTCAGAACTTGTTTCAGGATTCTTGTTCTTTACCTTTAGGTGCCAAGGTCCTAGACTGGATGTCTGCACAGTAATTAAGATGTGTCGTGTGGACAAGTGAGGACAGGACTCTGTCCACCTAGACTTGGCTAACACGTGGTCAGTCACTCCCGGGGATCTCATTTGTGGCCTGCAGTAGAAATCAGGAGGCACTGCTGCCAGGACACACTCGGAGCGTGTTAAGTCGCTTGACAAACTCTGACTTTCTGAGCTTGGAGACCGCAGGAATGTGTCACAAGAGCAAGGGAGTGGCCACGTTAGAAGTCGTTGGTGTAGGTGAGGCATGACTTTAAGTGAGTTTGGGACAGACAGACCCAAGTGACCACAGGAGTCAAAGGGCCCCAAATTTAGATATACTGGATTAACTCTGAGGGTGACGACTGCCTCGAGTATAATCCGGTTCAGGAAAACCCTCTGTGGTTTCATGTTGGGAGCGCTCCTCGTGATGGCTCCCATCAGATACTGAGAGACAGTGACTCTTCCAGTGAAGATAGAGCCATTGGCACTGTACCCTAGTTGGGCCACAATTAACTCAAGATAAATATAGGGCTTTGTGTGTGTGCGCGCGCGTGTGTGCGTGTATTTCTATAGGCACAAATGAAACAGAAAGAGCTACTGACTCAAACTTAGGAAACCCAAAGTCAAGTTTTTCTTACCCTGAAGCACTAAAGTGTGTCAAGGTGTAAGTTTTAAGAGTAAAACTGTTTATAAAAGACCAGCAATGTTAGAAGAGCATTTCATGTATACTAGATGTGCCTTTAAGCAATAAAAATCCCAAGACTGAGCAGTATTGTGCCTCCATTTTAAAAAGCCTGAGCTACAGACTTCCCGGTGTAGGAAGGTGTCTGCTCACCATCCTGAGCGCAGAGGGTGACTTTCTTCCCATTCTGGGGCCTTACCCACGGAATGCTTTTCAAGTTTATGTGAAGCCTGTGTGAATTCTATTTTAGCCTTATTTGTATATTCTCATTTATTTTTAATGACATTAGACTTAATTTGGTTCACAGTTGTCACCAGGTTTTGCGCATAACAGTGGGACTTTTTTGTGTGTTACATTTTCTCGGCTCTTACCCTTTCCCACACTTTCCCATTTGTACAGTAAAAGCAGCTACCAGTTGGAGGCCCGAAGTGTCAGTAAAAAAAAAAAGTCACACCTCTAACTGGCAGCGGCAGCAGGAGTTTTGGTTAGAGAGGACCACAGAAAGACAGTAACCAGGGTAACGGGAAGACTTCCTCCCAGCATAGAGACGCAAGAGCTGACACTTAGGAGCTGGCTTGCTTCTAGGTAGAAAATGAAAAAAAACGGTGCTTATTTATTCACCTGCTATGTTTCCACCTCCAAGCTTAACTTAGTTTTCCTCATAGTTTTAAATTCTCTTTCTTCTATTCTAACGACACGCTCCTTTTTCTTAACATAGGTAAGGCTTTACACTCCTCTTTGACCTGTAGAGGCATGAGAGTCTATAACATTTTCTAAGCTTGCAGGCCAAGTAGAACTAGCCCTGGCTCTGCCAATAGCTGGACCCCACCTTCTGCCATCTCTGGCCACCAAGCCACTTTCCATGCTGGCAGCTACACCACAGTGGTGGGACTGCCCAGGGGGAAGTCGGTCAGTGGACGGTGTTCATCTTTTCTGAAAACTTCACACAGTTGCCAGCAGGTACTTACTGGTTAAGATGCATCTATCTTAAAATAAAGTTTTAAAATTGTACCTGATATCTCAAAACGGCAGTTTAAACAAGCATCCACTCATCCACTTTTTTTTTTTTTTTAATTCTCACTAAAGAATAAAGTTGTACGTTTTGGATTTGCCTAAAATTAGACATGTCGTCTTGGGCTTGCATTGCTTCATATGTAAAGAGGGGGAAAGCTCCTGGCATTGCTATAGCTGGAACCATATCATAATTGTCCTTTCCCCCTTCCCAACTAGATTAACACGTCCTCCATCCACTGCGAATGGAGGATATTTCTGTCCCCAAGCGACTTGAGCCCTTTTCTTCAAGTCAGTGTGTACAAAGGCACTTGTTGTATATTTATTCTCTGACTCCTTCAGCAGCTTAGAAGGGGAAGACGGAGCTTCTGCTCAGTGCTCGTGTGATACCCAAACCTAATTGATCCTGGTTTAGTGTTGAGAAAACAAGAACCAACACTAAATCCTTTTGCTGGAACATGCAATGGTTTCAAGAAGTCACTTGTGAATTCCTAATTGCAAATGGAAACTAACTATGTGTTCTTAATTCAGGATTGAAACTTTGCTTCTGCTTGTGACGTGGAATAGCCTACTCAGATTTGTGGTTTTAATTTCTGTCAGTTCCATAATCATTGCATGAGCATTCACCATCACCGAATGCTGGTGCTGGCGCTCCTAATTTTCCTTTCTTTTTTATTTATTATTATTTCTAACTTTTTTGTTTTGTTTTTTAACTTGCAGTGCAAGCTTCACATAAAGCCTGGCAAGCCAAGGATGTTCCCGCATTCACCTGCTTTTGCAGTAATATTGTATCTCTGCCATCTGTGTCCTTTATTTTTATTTTTTATTTTATTTTTTTTACCCTTCCCCAACACCAGTAACTATTAACTCATTTTGCTGAATGTTGTTGGGTGGTAGAAAATGCTAGAACAAGGGGATAACAGCAAAAGCTCTGTGCAGCTGGACTTGGTTTCTGGAAAGTAAAAGATTTGCCTGTAAGGCCTGTTCCGAATGGCAGCAGGAAGCAGGCCTGTCACTTGTGTGTCGCTTTGGACTGAGGAGAGTGGGGTAAACTGCCACCTGTACGTCCGACCTGAAAGCTTGTGACGCCTCAGCAGCTGAACTAAAGCCTGAGTAGCCATGTCAACAGCTTGCATTTCCTGGATTTCATCTCCATGATCGCACAGTCCCTCAACTCACTGCCTTTTCTCCCCACTTGTCCCAAAGCCAGGTAGATGTGTGCGTAGTAGACAGAATGGTGGGTGAGCAGTGTCTATGACTTACACTTGCATGAAGTTTTCGTTTTAATCAGTAACATCATTTGGCCTGAGACTGTGGGTCTGTTCAGACTGTGTCCTCTTATGGCTAAAAACTGCATCTGTACACCTCCCTTGGCGTGCTGGCCAAGTGGGGTGGCCTGACCTGACACAGAGAACCATGATCAGTGCACGTTTACTGGTGTGACCTTGGCCCTCTCACAGACAGAGATCTCACAGGTTTGCATATACAACGTTCTTTAGTAGAAGAATCTTCTACTAAGGATAATGGGCATTCTACAAAGTACTATTTGAAATAAGGACTGTTTAACAATCACATCTAAATTTGCTCTCACTGGGCTGAGGGAGGGCCTAATGACTGACCCTAGATAACAGTGCTGCTCATAAAGTGTCCCACTAATCATGAGGAGAAAATTGGCACAAATACTTCAAATACAAAATTTGCTGTAAACTTTATCGTCTGCAGCTCAGATTGGAAGGGACCTTGTCGATTTAACATGGAAATGGGAGGATGACCAGTGAGTCGAGAAAGTAGACGTTTTTCACATCCAACTTCCTTGTTTAGTCTCCTTTCAGTTATTTGGCAATAAAAAGAAGAAACCAAACATCTGGGGTTCCAAATCCAGTTGTTTGGAAGGAGTTTCCCCACCTTCCCCTCACCATGCCCATTTCTTTCTGCCTGCCCTTTGAGTCTAAGGCGATCAAATACTAGAGGACTAGGGCTGACCCCAGGCCAGCCCATAGGCTACAGGCTGACTTTGTAGGAAAAGGCTGTTTTTAGTCTCTTTTCTGTGCTGCTCCTTTCTGATGCGTATCCTTCCATCTGTTTGTTTTTCTCCTCCACTAACAAGCTCTCCCAGCTCTCTAACTATAGCCTCCTGTTTCTTACTTGAAAGGTTAACGTTTCCCACGAACCCACTTCCCCTCTGCGTTTTCCTTCTGGCCTTCGCTAGTTGTAGGGTAAGTAAATGGGGTAGAATGCGCTGCACCGCCCCCGACACACTTTTTTTTTTTAATTAATACTTTTCTATTTGATTCCAACAAAGATTTTTTTTTCCCTTTTTGTCCTCAACCCAACTTAGAGGAAAGTAGGGTTAAGATCAGTTTCATCAAAGCCCAAAGTAAGCTAGGATAGAAACTAGGAAAAGGACCAGCAGCAGCGGTGGTGGTTTTATAGGGTAGGAGCTACTGGACCAATATTTTTGTTTTTGCCTTTTTTTTTTTTAACCTAATCTGCAGCCGTCTGTGGAGCAGCCGAGTGTTCGCTGACATGCCGATTCTAACCATGGGCTGAGTTTGTTCATACGCTGTGCACCAGACAAAAGCTTGAATATTTGTGCTGTATGCTTGTTCCAACCACCGTTCGTGTGAGCATTTTTGTGGCTTGTAACGGAAAGTCTACTTTTAAATTCTGTTTCTTGGCATCACTAAAACCTTTTCAAAATGTGCCTAACAATGAAAGGCCTCCAGCTGACTTTTTGATTCCGAGATTGTTGATTGTGTTTTCGTATGCATTAAATTTTTCACAGCCAGATAAACCATATGGAGAGTCAGGGAATAAAGCGTCAAGAGAAACATATAGAAGTTGGGTTTTTTTTTGTTTTTAATGTGTTGCTTCTGAACTTTTTCCACCCCTGCCCCAGCCCTGCGTAGTTCGTTATTGCTGCCCTTCCTTTTTCTTTCTGTATCTGTGCCTTTTTTCACAGTAGTCCTTGGCTCTGCACGGAATAAATGATCCCTCCAATCTAATTGGATGTGCTTTCCCGCCTTTGCATGTAAGTACAGTAGTAAGAAACCTTTGAGAGCTTTCTGACTTTCTGAAATTAGAGAAAACAAATGGGATGGATGGATTTTTTTTCTTTCTCTTTCATCGGGGGGGTAGAGAGGTAATGGTTGGAGTTGCCTTTGGTTTTTTTGGCTTTTTTGTTAAAAATATGCTAAATAACTAAATGCATTTTAAACGGCCTTACTTCTGATTCTTTTTTCCCCACAAGAACCACATAAATTCAACTTCTTGATCTCAATGTGGAAATCAGAACTTACTAATCTCCACCGGTGCTCTATACAGCATCCGTGGGCCTCATTGGTTATTTCAGAGGGGCCTTGGTTCTGGCAGGATCAATCAGGCTAGAATGAGAGACCACTGCCTTCCACAGGGAGAAGCTAAGAGAAAACAACTGTGACGCCATGCTGCCTCTATGACCACTTCACTTTTTGATCTTAGTTTAATGGTCTCTCCCTGGTGCTAACTGCTGGCAGTGGTCAGCTCTTGTTGTGGGCGGCAGGAAGATGGCTCTAGCTGGCTTTCCCCCCATGTCTTCTGTTCAAACCTAATGACCATCTTGCCTCTGGGCTTTAGATGCCCATAATACTTGTCCATGCTGTAGGATGTGATGGAAAAGCATTTACAAGAATTCATTGGCAATTTATTTTCCCAGATTAGGCTCTTTATTAAACTGGTAAAGGTTCTATCCAAAAAGGGCATCTCAACCAGTGGAATTAGTGGAATGTCGGACACAGGGTCTTATCTCCCCCCTTTGCTTTGTAACTGACCAGCCGTGGCACTTGTTCTTCATGTCGTGTGCCCCTCAGATGAATGCTGGATTTCTTTGCTTCACATACCCATAAGTGTTTCACGTACAAACCACTGAGTCAGGTTTTCCAGCTGTCCCTGGTGCACATCACACCGTCTCTGTGTGGTCCCCACCAAAACTGTCCCTTCAGATCCCTTTGCTTTGCCATTTCCAAGTGTCTGGGATTGTCAAGACTCAGCCTCCAAAAATCCTAGTTCCACTGACAGGACACATAAGTGATCACTCTTTAGTGGGAATTATAACCTACAAAGTCTATCTAGTGTGTATGTAGGTATGAAGGGAATTTTTTGAATAAATTGAAAAATGAAGCTGTGAACAGCATTAGAACTTTGTCTATTTCTTAATTTTAAAATATGCTGATATGCCTTAAACCGTAGTTGTAGATCCTTGTCATTTTGCTGTTTGAAAATAACTGATGTGTTTTCTAAAACTGTTGTGTAATCCACTTTCCATGTTAATGCAGAATTGTCATATGTAAGCTGCATGTTAGATATTTTGTCTTTTTTAAAAAACTAAAGTAATTGTATTGATGTGAAGTATACCATTTTTTCAAATATGAAAGTGATCAGTAACATGCTTGGTTATTTGGTATCTGTTAAGGTAGGAGAGTGGTGGACAGGTAACCTATGCATATGTCACTAGTGCCAAGATGGAAAGTGGGGAAAATATATTTTTACCCAAACATCGTTTTGTGTGCCCTTTTGTGAGTTCTTTAGTCGCTGCTTGACATGCGTATGTACACATGCTTATTAGATAAAAGACGCAGGGATGGCAGAGTCCTCAGCTGTCTTGCCTCATGTGGTGGACTTGGACGTACCAACTCTGAGATAGCTGCCACCTGGTGTCCTGTACGTCACATACCATCTCAACCACCCTCTCCCATCCTGTCCCCGTCCACCCTGCCCATCTGCATGCTTCGGTGCCCAACTGAGGCATCCTCTTCTTCCCGGCCTCTGCTGCCAGTGCCAATGCCGCTCACCCTCCAGCTGTGCTCAATGAAGTCATTGCTTTAATTGACATACCTCTGTTCTTTCACAGTTTGTTATAGAGAAGCTCCTTTTTTTTTTTTTTTAAGCCTTTAAGAATCAAATTTGAATCTGAACCTTTCTTTTTTCTCTTCTGTAGCTTCTTCTTTATGTAACCATCCTGTTGACAAGCCCTACTCTCTCCTAATGGACATAGAGCATTGGAAGAGCAGGAGCTGTCTGTTCACACGTGTTGGGGAGGAGTTACCTCATTTCCACGGTCGCCTCCTAGTCCTTTAAAGTCTGGGTTACATATGGCACTGCTGTTTGTATTTGTCAACGTCTGTTTACAAACCACTAGCCATAGTGGATACTGAAGTGACTTATCACTACCAAAAAATAATAATATTCAATAGTATTAATTAAAAGGAAAAATGAAATTAATTGAAACAGAACTTGGGCCAAGACCCAAGGTCTTATACTGGGATCCTCTTGCTTATCTGACACGTTCTTGAAGCTGCTGATCCAAGATCTCATGGACTGAAGACTGATGTACCCTAACCTGAGGTGGCCACCACCTCTGGGGCCCACAAACTTGATCTCATGGTAACTCCCATCCTCTGGCCCATGAGTGACACTCTGAATTGCCCAATCAGGATCCTCAACCATCAGCAGGTCCTAAGATCTGGGCAACATTTTCCTTCCTTTTGTTAGTTTTGTGGGTTGTTTTGGTGTTTGGGGTTTTTTTTTTTAAACATTTGATATTGCATGTACAGAGATGGCTGCAATTTTTTTCTTTGAAGTGTTCTACTGATACAATGTTCTTATTTTTCAGCTGACCATCTGACTCTTGAAAGAGAGAAGTGGGCATCCTTCCTTTTAATTCAGGAACCATTGTTGTTTTATTTGACTCTTTTTCTGTCACCTGCATCCCTTATATAAGTTGTTTTGGATTTGGAATTCTGTTTTTGAAAAAAAAAAAAATTTCCCGTTCTGTTTTTTGTATTGATTATTCAAACTTGCTTTTGGTATGAAAATTGTGCCAGTTTTAAGCTCACTTCAAGGGGAAATTTACATCACAAAATTCTGTTTAATGTGTTTTCCTCATCTCGGATACAACCAAAAACATCCCTGTTTTGTTACTGGGGTTTGGGCTCCAAGTCTTAATCATGTATAAAACATGCTGGTGTTGGGTAAATGACTTTTCTGCCTCTGGGGCTCAATTTATATTTAAAGATACCTTAAGATAATTTACTGGCCCATCTGTGCCTTTTCATTTATTTGTGAAACAATATCTTGTGTCCACAGGACTTTTTTTTTTTTTTACCAAGACCATGAAAATGACCCACAAACAAGTCCATATCCTGCCCCATATGACCCACCATTGACACTCACATTGTCTTCTCAGAGTCTCCTTGGTAGCTCTCTCCATGATATCTGCAAAAACCCTAAGAAATCAAAGCATTCATACCACTAAATACACACCCACATCCAGGCTCAGGCTTCTGCGCCTCTGGTCGCTAATGCTGACCCTTTTGTGACATGTCAGATTCACAGCTAGATTATTTTATTAGGAGTCACCCCTTAGAGGCAGTTTTTAAATTCCTATCTATTGTTAGAGCATAGACATTTTAAGTTACCTTTTAATTTCATTATTTATGTATTTGCTTATTTCCATCTTCATTTTCTAGCCCCACAGATGGTAGGTCATGAAATACTATGGGTAGCGTGAATTGTATTTGTCCAAAATCCTCAGCAGTGTTCAGGAAGTCCCTTTCTTGAATCATTTGATTCCCAGAAAGAAACTTAGAGCAATTGGATGAACAAGCTGGCAAGCAGATTTATTTAGAAACTATTGTAAGTAAAGTCAGATTCATTTGAGCCCTTAAATGATCACAGCAGAGTCAAAAGCCACCCCCTTCATACTCCACTATAATCTGTAAGGACAGAAGTCTGCTAGGGATGTGACCAGTAGGAATGGAGAGGGATGCCAACTCCTTAACTGGCCCTGAGCATGACAGTGTCAGTTCTGCAAGTTAAACATGTAGGTCCTATCAAGTGAGACCACTGTCATCACTAAGTCAATTGGCTTTGCTCTAAAGCAACTTATTTTTATTATCAACTTTATCCTATGGGGGGGGCGGGGCTGGGTTTGAACCAGCCACCTCCAGCATATGGGACCGGCACCCTACCCTTTTGAGCCACAGGCACCACCCAACTTTATCCTATTTTTAAAAAAAATTCTGCACCATGTTGTAAAGATATTTTTTGAGCAATATTTTAAAATAAAATTAGGCAGTATGTTTTAAGTAAGAAAATCCCCAAGTCTGCTGTTTACTGTGATTACCTTCCCTCCCACCCCACCCCCTATTTTAGCCCCCAAGTTAGAGGCAGTGTAATAGTGATCATCTTAATGGGGGGGGGGAGCTATTGCAAGTAGGTTAACATTAGTTCAGGTACCTATGGAGAGCTGCTCATGGAAGCCCCTGGCCAAGTGCCTGGCCATTCCTCCTCAGATAGATGACCTTGACCTGGCCTTGTACTGAGGTGGTTCTTTTTGTTAAGTGTTGATAGAACTGGTAAATTCTCCAAAGTGCTCCTGGCTGACCGACTAAAGGATGTGAAACCATTAGGGGATATTATCAGCAATAATAAAAATTATTATTGGCCTCTCTCAAATGAGATTATGGAAAAGCAAAGCAGGGTGAATTGGGCCATCTGAATCTATTTTCACTGGTAACAGGCTTTTTATTCATTCTTTTTTGAAAAATTACTTGATTTCATAGACTCTGCCTTCTTATACGAGTGCAGTGTAGATGGTCTACTTGAGGTTAGCGCAGCATATGTGTAAAGGAGAGAGCCAGCTTTCTCAGTCAGTGTGTGCTGGCTACCAACAGGTTCTTATCCCGATGTGTGGCTGAGCTGGGACAGATAAAAACACAGCCTCATCCCAAGGTGCTTGACCAAATTTTTCTTCCCTGTCAACTACTTATCAAATGAAACTTCTTCTTTTGCCTACTATTGGCCCTACTGGAAAACTATGTAATTTTCACTATCTTTAGATGACCTTTCTACACAAAATCTTTCACTTCACAGATGACTTATATTTCCACCTGTGACTGGCAGTGATGAGAAAGTGGCTCATTCTGAAGATCCTTACGTGGGAATCTTCAGACCATGGCCCTTGTTCCTGTGATGGATGCCTTCTGGTTTTCGGATAAATCTCTAGCAAGCAACTGGCATTCCCATGGCTGGTTGAGGGATTGCATGTGTTAATTTGAGAAGCCTGTACCCTCCTTAGCATTCACTCACCTCCCTTTCCAACCTTGCTGTTCCTGACTAGCAGCTGTTGACAATGAGACCTTCTGGCTGTCAGTGGAATGTCGTGAGGTACAGAAGATTCACATCTGCCCCAAATAAGTTCCTTGCAGGGCCATAAGTTGAATGGCCTTTCAGTCCACTGTGAAAACTTTCAAAATTATGGCACCTAGACTCGGGGGAAGATAGGCTATTACAATGAGGTCCCTGTTCCATAAAAGAACAAATGTGTCTGTATTTGAGAGCAGAGGCACAATAATATTCCATAAGGAGCTGGGCTGAACCTGTGCAGTGTTTTTACAACTCTGAAGAGTTGTGATTCTAGCTCAACTTTTTTTTTTCACATCCAACCATCCACCTTCCCCACCCCTTCTCTTTCCAAATACTTTATACAGCACCAGGCCTATGCTAGGGGCTAGGGATGCAGCCATGCCTCATGAATTGGACTTTTCTCCTCTGTATATCTCAAAAACAGCAAATGTTTGAAGTAAGGAATAAGTCCTTTCTATGCTATCTGTTCTGGTAAAAATGTTAATAGGTCTTAACCTGAAAAGGTACAGGTCCTGTTCCCCACCAATTGCTTTTCAGGTTGCCCTTTGTTCTGGAGTGTCCCTCTTGCCTAACAGAATAAGTTGTTTCTAAGAAATGAGAAACCAGGCAAGGCGTGGTGGCTCATGCCTGTAATCCTAGCACTCTGGGAGGCTGAGTGGATAGCTTGAGCTCAGGAGTTAAAGACCAGCCTGAGCCAAGAGCAAGACCCCGCCTCTAAAAAATAGCTGGGCATTGTGACTGAAGCCTGTAGTCCCAACTACAGGGGAGGGTGAGGCAAGAGAATTACTTGAGCCCAAGACTTTGAGGTTGATGTGAGCTATGACACTATGGCGTTCTACAAGAGCAATACAGGAAGGCTCTATCTAAAAAAAGAAAGAAATCAGAAACCAGTTGACTGGCCCTGGGGCTATTCAAAATGCTTTTCTAAAGTCCTTAACTCAGAAGCTCCTGGGAATTAAAACTAGAATAGTGAGCTATTCTCAAATTCTCTCTCTGATAAGACATTCTTGACTACCTCTTACTACATCTTTGCAAGGCAAGAGTAATCAAGAGATGGCACGGGGGAGTTCAATCTGTCCCTCACACACACACACACACACACACACAAGTTCAATCTGTCACACACACACACACACACACACACACACGTGCGCGCGCGTGCGTGAAAGTCCTCCATCAGACATCGTAAAAGTCACCAAATTAATCATCAGTATCTTGAAGGAAAGCTTTTTTTTTTTTT